TAGCCATGCTTGGTGAATTAATTAGCAAAATATTTTGTCAAGGAAGGCTCCATCACTAACCCATTCCTAGACACTGTTGAAACTTACAGCCTCACATCAATTCAGGCTGCTGCAAATGATTTTTTATTTTGACTTAGAGTCTTGAAGTCATCTTCAAGATCACTTCATATCTTAACCGCTTATATCAAAAACTGAACCCACTTCAGGAAATGAAAATATATGTGTCCAAATATTGATTTAGAGGAAAGTATTGCATTTTCCCAGTAAACTGGTCACATAGAATTTTGCCTATTCCAATCACCTACCCCAAACCATCAAAGCTGTAAAAAATGTAATTTCTTTCTACAGAGGCACAGTTATATTTCCACATGTTACATGTTTCCAATTTAGGTTTTTCTACATGTAAACACTATCTTGGAAAATTTTTATGACATTTCATTGCTTAGGAGTTAAAAGTGACTATTTGGAAAGGTTTTGTTTCTTATTTTTTTTAAAGGAAATTCATACTTGCTTAGTTATGAAAATTACAGACATAAGTTCCCTAGTGACTTTGATTTTCCTAAAATAACTGCCAGCCGTTCTTATTCAATCACCCAATCAATATATATTTATTGACCTGTTCCATTTACCAAGACTATTAGGTGCTGACTATTCTAATTTATTTGACCTTGAATCATCGCTTTACTTGGGCAGCAGATACATCATAATAAAGGCAACACATCTTGTTTCATTTTTATTTGTTTATAATTATCTTTTAGTTTTTCTGTCTGACCAATGTTATCCTTTTATCTCTTTTAAAATTTTTAATTTTTTAGGAGTCATAGTTCTTCCTCATTTACCATTAATCCTATGCTTTGTCCGGGCATGCATTTCCCCCTTTAACCCCCCCCCCCAATATTCTTCTGGATACTTAATTTGTGCTTTAGCTGTATATAATCTGGTTCTTGATATTTTTCTTAATTTTTTTAAGAAAATTATTTCTTCCCTAAAAAAACAGTGTTAAAGACAGAGTTCACAAAAGCCAAGTCTTTTTTATTTCCCTATCATTCAATAATTGTGGTCAACCTCAAATTGCAAACTTCGCTATATAGTGCTGAAAATAAATAAGTTATTGTGCTTCCAGACTCCTCCTAGTCTGTAAAGTTTTAATGCTTTGTCCTTTGTCCTGTTTATTTCTGATATTAGAACTATACGAAGTTTCCTTCTGAAATTTCAGAGAGGAAGTTCTACTTTGTGCAGTGCTACATCCTGCAACCTGTAGACGAACGTTGGATAATCAGTACCGCACTCCTCTAGTGTGCTCTCACCTTCGCTGTGGATTTCTGCTGTTGAAGAAAAAGCCTACTCCAGGCTTTTATTTTCTGATTAGAATTCACTTTGGCTGTCGTTATGCAGCTCTATCGATGGGTGAAGTTGAATCATCATCTGAATAGCTTGATCAAAGTCAGTGATCAGGATCAGACCTCAGGGAAGTTGCGAAGGTGGAGGGTCCATTAGGGCCCATCCAGTTCCATGACCTCGTGAACTCCAGGTGATAGAACTGAGCCCAGGGACAGAAAGCCTTGCCCAGCTTCCGGGAACCACATCCAGGTCTCCAAGATTCTTTCCATCTCATCTCACTCACTTAAGGTTTTAAACACCTTTTAGACCTCTTTTTCCTTAAGAATTGTTTATTTTTATCTTCCTCCACCCCAACCAGAAAAAGCTGGTTACGGTGTCTTCTGTCATCTAACACCAGACTTCCGCCATTCTCCCCTCTGGTTCACTGGGGTTGCTTGTGTTCGCTCGCTTGGGAATCAACATAAATGATGTTCTTTGATTAGTTTCTTGTTTTACTCCTACTCTGGAGGATAAGAGCAAGAAAACTCAAAGGGAAATTACGCTAGCTACTGGCCTAACCTCCACTGACTCATGTCAAAATAATTTTTTTCCAGGTAAATCTGTCTCCCCTTTCTCTCCACAAAACAGTTGAAGCCATAAATTATGATGGTTTAGAGGTATTTGCAGCCCCCATATGGCCTTGTACATTGTGCTTAATACATTTCTGTTGAATTGTTATTCTGTCTATTCATCAAGCCACGTCATCATTGGAAACTGCGTGGTTACTGAAAAGCACAAACTCAAAATCAGCAAGAACTATCG